AAAAGTAATAAAAAATATATACTATTGATATTTATAAAAAATAAATACATTTTTATTAAATAAATACACTGACTTCAGATTAAGCAGATTTATTCAAAATATTTGTTAAGCTATAAAATATATTTACATAATTGAAATTATTAAAAATTAAAAATGAAATTATGAATTTATTACGTATATATGAAAAAGAAATATTAATATACAGATTCACTTTTAGTTCTACTGAGAATAAAAAAAATAAATATTATAAAATTTTTAACTATTTATTCAATCATCAACTGACGTCGAGTCATCTTGACAAAGTGAGTAACTTACGTAACATCATAAAAAGTACTTAAATAGAAGTGAAAATTCAAATGTATAATATATTTGAAAGGTTAGGTAACAAAATTTTTAACAAGTCACCACTTTAAATGGTCGATTCTAATATAAAAATTGTTGAATGCCTTTAAACACGTGAAAGTTCTACATCCATCACAGGTCAATGACCCGCAGATAAGTAAATTAATTAACATATAAGGAATTATTAATGTTGAAAAGTTTGTTTAGATATTTGGGTTGAAGTGCATAATGAAAATTTCCTTACGTCATTTTAAGTTATTCCCACATCCAGTCCCTGTGGCGCAGAGGATAGCGCGTTGGACTTCTAATCCAAAGGTCGTGGGTTCGATCCCCACCAGGGATGAATAATATACTTTTTGTCACTCAAAAACATTATAGAATGATTAGTATTTTGTGAAAAAATCTACTCTGTTAAAGTAAGACGAATGCATTTGTATGTATTTATAGAAAGGAATTCAATAGTAAATATAGGTTTGAACAATTTTTACAAACTTAAATAATAATTATCAAACTATTGTCGTCTTTTTAAATAATAACGAAATAAGATAATTATTATCTACTCACAGCGGTAAATATTAATACAAAAAAACTGCAAATATTAAAAATATTGCTTCGTATAAACAAGTTTAAAATAACATAAAAATTGCAATGACATCTGTCAAGAGTTCCGTTTAGAAATACACAAAATTATTTATCTTCTTAAAAACCTACAATACCTATTACTATATCAAGTTAATACTCTTTGTACCCTGTCGCTGACTGATCCGGGGAACACCGACATAGCGGCCGATGGCTTTCGCAGTGGTTTTAGTGAGTAGGGGCCTGCCCAGGCCGAGCCTCACACATCCCTTCCGGCCCCACCAAGGCCGGTTGGACGGCTCGTAAAAAGAGTTTCCCCTGCGTCATCAAAAAAAAAAGTTAATACTCTTTAAAGAAGTAAAAGAAAACTTTCTATAAAATAAAATAATTGGATACATTTACCTGAATAATTCATAATATCATATAACCCAGGAACATAAGAGTCACGCTAGTTTGTGAGACGGAACGAATATGACTTCACGCGACTATCATAAAAACTGTGTGAAAAATTACGACTTCCCTCTATGATGTGTTACTTTTGATATAGGATTATGCAATTTATTGAGTTGAACTTTTCTTAAATTAATGAATTAATTAGAAGTCAAGCGTTAGATCGTAACGCACTATGCCAGTAAAAACCTTGACTTTTTTCCCATCAAGATATCCGAATTGAGCATGTCAAGAATAACTTGCGAAACTTCTTATAATGTTTCTTTAGTAAAATGGCACAAAAAATATCAAATCGATACCAAAATGATCAAATCTATGTTTAATATGGTGCTTCTATATAAGTAGTTACCACAAATTAACTTCTGATCGATTTCAGTCAATCGGAAACGAACGAAGACATCATTACATAGAATTAGGCACAAATAATAGCAATAAAAAATTGCCTCCATCAAAGGCCTATGTACCAATATTACGACACTATTATGTTGTGGTCAATACGGTTATACAACCAGAGACCATAAAATTGCAAAAATTTATTTTTTCTAACTATTTTTTTAACTGCAAGTTGAAATTAGTTTACCAACATAATTTTTTTATATCTACAAACTTTTTAATTGGCATGGGTATTAAATCAATGTATGAATGAAACGAAACGAAGTTGGTTCAAACCTTGTTTGATGATGCAGGGAAACACTTTTTACGAGCCGTCCAACCTTCCTTGGTGGGGAGTTGGTTCAAACCACACTCATTCTTCCATAACTATACAGAAACACCATTTACGATTAAATACCTTTATTGCATACAATATAATTAATGAAAATGATGTCACGAAAAAGTTCATCGGGAATCAACTTTCATGACTATTTAAAATGTCAGCTTTTGTTTTATAATTTGCTCGTTCCGACATCCCATACAGGAATACGAGTATATAAGCAAACTGTTATTGTATCGTTAAACAATAATAAATTTAATACTTGAACGGAAATTAAGAAACATTATTATAAACATTGCGATATTTCTTGTTACTCGATCTTCAACGTAATCCCTATGAAGATTTTTGTTTTTATTAATTTGTCAATCTTTCAACAGAATAGAAACTCTCAGTAAACTTGGTATTACGACGTCTTATAATTTACTTATCATTTAAATAAGACACAAATCATTATGCTTTCTTCATTAATAATTTAATTTAATACCATCATGTAAGAAAAGTCGTAAAATCTATTACATCTTCATTACGTGCACATACATACTTTCATTTCGAATATCTATTAAAAATGTTAGTAATTAAATGATAAATAAATGTCACTTAGCATTAATTGAATTATTTGAATAGTTTCATACACATATTTCAATTAAAAACGTTAAAATAACCACCATAACGTCATAATGAGCATCTATAATGATTTATATCCACTCATCCAAGTCTTGTTGACAAATATATTTTGCGAAACCCAGTGGTAGTGGAAGTATATGAGAGTGTACAGACCTTTCCCGCGCGCAGTTCACCGCTGTCGCCATGGCGGGAGCACTGATTTGAAATATTTAAAACAACATTTTCTAGTCAATTTTAATACGACTGATATGACTGAACTTGACACTATGTGACACTAATGATCCGCCTGACAGATGACAGTGACAGTGAATGTGACTGATGTGACTTGACTTGACTTATGGATTGACTGATTTTGACTGGATTTGACTGCCTTTTGGATGCGAAGGGTAAGTTGACTTATACTTTCCTTTTTATACCAAAATCGTTGCATTTTCTAGATAATAAAATAATCTAATAGTCACAATACATATGTATAATATGTATAAAGTTTGGCGGTTATTTTTATATTTTGTTGTAAATAGACTAAAATCAAAGCATATGAATTTATTGTTAAGTTTATTAAGTGAAAAATAATAAAACATATTTGTATTTTTATCTTATTTTATTATTTTTTATAATTTGTTCTTTAAAAAAATTAACAAGCAGTTACAATACTACATTTTTAACAATTATAAATAATTAAAAATAAAAATGTTGAAATAATAATAAAAAAAATACAATGTTAGGCTCCATGTGAATTAGATCAAATTATAATACAGATTTGATAAATATTTTACATTCAAGTAATTCATGGTAACTGAAATAACCAACTTAAATAGATGAACCTCCTATTTATGTTAAATATATTGCGTCGCTTTTTGTTTTCTTTCATATATTTTACAAATATATATAAAATTGGCACAGATTTATTTGTAAATTTCTTTTATTTCTGAGTTTATTCCATCTGTAATTTTTTGTGTATATTTTTTCTTCAATTGAAAATATATTATGTGTATATATTCATAAAATCAAGGCAGACCCTTGGCTTAAGCTGGGAAATTGTCAGGAAGAAGAAGATTCATAAAATGACACAATCTAAATTATTTTATATTACATTTAATAAAAAAGTTATATATTTTTTAATTTCGAAAAAATAAGAAATCAATTTTCAACAATTAAAATTGGAACAAACAAATATTTCGAAATTTTATGTGTCTGTACAAGCCTGTTTTAATAAAATGAAAGTTCTTAAATATACTGCTGTTTCTTATGCAGTATCTGTTTGTACTATAATTTGCGAAGATTAATAAATGAAAAAATATTAATTATACGTTAATAACATTACTTTAAAAACGGAAAAATGAGCTAAAACTTGAAAACTTTTAGCGATAAAGATTAATAATTAAAAAAATGTAGTAAAAGTGTTTAAATAGACAAAAAGAAATTTTATTAAACAAAAAGATGAATTGAAAAGTTATTCTGTACACAAAAAATCATCGAAACATGTTTATAAAGAGGTTTTGAAAACGTTGCAAATTTTTTCCACGAGTTTCATATAACCGGTATAACATACCTATATATGTGAACCGGCGGCCAAAGGAAAGTTTATTTTCACTTTCTCCGGGGTCAAACACCGAATCACAGACCGTGGATGCATTATTATACTATCACGCATCAATTATAAATAATTTGCATGAATACTTTAATGATAGACACTTATATATTGAAAAATATAAAAAATATTTATTGAATGTTACGTTCTCATCGAAAAATTATATAGATAAAGATTTATTCAGTAACATTTAATTACAAAGCTTTGAATAGTAATTAAAAATAATTTTTTTTATTATATAATATACATTCATAAACATATGTACAATTTCTTGTAATAATTTCGTATCCAAACATTTATGTATAACTAAATAAATAAATAAAATAGCTTCGTACTTCTTTGGATATTATTTTATATACAAATTAGCTATGTAACTATCACACATAAAACTTATTGGAGTAAAATTGTTGTGTTATTAAGAAAACTAATATTTTATAAAATTCTAAATAAAACTAAACTTATGTTTATCTGCAAAACATATATTTTTTATATATATAAACATTAACATTTAATTTTAAAAATACAATCAACATATTAAACCAAATGTTGTTGATTCCTCTTGCAATCCTTTACGAAATTCATAAAGAATATGATGCTCTGAAGTAACTGTCTTCTTAGTGGCATTTCCTTACAGATTTCACCAATGTCATATACCGAAACAATATTATTTACGTATTTGAAATGTCGCTTGTTTTTTTGTAGTGTGGACAATGACAACCTCGAGAGTCGTTCGGAAGAAAATCAGTTTCCCGACGCCAGTTCCCTCCGCCAGTCACCACTAATACAACAATGTCCCCTTCGCGGCGCTCCCAAATGTCCACCAGCATCCAAAAGGTAATATATCTTTTAATACACACTATTATATATTTAAATTTATCATTATAGTTAAATCTTTTATTTTAGATATCGCACTCACGATGGTACTTGCAACAACTTGAGCCGGCCCCGCTGGGGTGCTACCATGACCCCGGTACAACGTTTCCTTCCACCAGTTTACTCCGATGGTATTCAAGCTCCAAGGAAATCTATTTTCGGCTCCACCTTACCTTCGGCCAGAGAAATCAGCGCTCTAGTACACGAGGACAAGGATTCTGAAAATTCTGGAATAACGCATTTGCTCATGCAGTGGGGACAGTTTTTGGATCACGACATAACATCTTCCTCTCAGTCCCGAGGGTTCAACGGCTCAGTGCCGCGCTGCTGCAAGGATGGAGGAAGAGACTTCATACCTCAAGAGTTCATGGTAACGTATTAAATAATATTACAACCAAGAATATGAAATAAATATTAAGGTGGAGAGAGGAGCTTGGACGGTGGAGGTGAGCGTTTAACGCGCCTTAGATAGGGGCCTCTTAAACCTACACCTGGGTCGCAAGTCCCAGGCATTGTTCAAGCTCCTCGCTCTACATAGATGGACCCGGCAACCGCACGGTGAATACATTGATTGCAAAGAGGTTTCGTCTCATTTCTGAGAAGGGTACATTACATGTCCATATAGGAAGAAATAACTTGATAAAAGCTTTTTATGCTATACATTTATTACATTGATGTGTTTAGTATCAATTTAAGTTTTTTAAGCGATCTGTATTGCTCGTGCGTCCTCAGCATCCAGAATGTCTTCCGATCCCCGTCCCTCCCTCGGATCCCTTCTACGGTCCGCGCGGTGTTCGTTGCCTGGACTTCGTTCGTTCGTCTCCTGCACCGCGAGAGGACTGCGCCCTCGGCTGGAGGGAACAGTTCAACCACGTGTCCTCATACATCGATGGATCACCACTTTACGCCAGCTCCGCGCGGCAGTCGGACAGGCTGAGACTGTTCAGAAATGGTGAGTTCGAGCTTGGCTCATAGAAGAATATTTTTATTACAATTATTATCAATAGTAATGAACCGGAATTAATTCATGGTGTTGTTCAAACAATTAATAAATAGCACACTTGTGATTACTACGCGTATTTTATAATATTAAAAACAACATATTCCCAACGTGTCGGTTACTTTGACGTAATCCGCAAAATATTAATTTCATTTCAATGAATACTCGCGAAAATCTTGGATCTCATTATTTCGTTCATTGTTAAGGATGTGTGTTTAATTTGTCCAGGTATGCTGCAGTATGGGCGGGTGCAGCAGCGCCGTCCACTGCTGCCGGCTGAACGTGATGAGCTTTGCCGTGGGGGCGCTCTGTCCACGGACTGCTTCAAGTCGGGAGACGCGCGGGTCAATGAACACCCTGGGCTCGTGGCTAAACACATCGTCTGGCTCAGACAACACAACCGGTAACTGATCCACATGCAATATAATATCTATTTCTTATTGAAGATTTTATTTCATTGTCCGCATATTATTGTGCAGAATGGCCCAAGAACTGGCGCACCTCAACCCTCACTGGAGCGATGAGAAAATTTATCAGGAAACACGGAAAATAGTGGGAGCTATGATCCAACACATTACTTACAGGGAATTCCTACCGATCGTTTTGGGTAAATTTCTAATTCTATATATAAATCTAATTCATTTCAAATCTGAGCAATTAATATTGTTTATACTTATACCCAGGTCCTGAAGTGATGCGTCTTTTTGAGCTGGAACTCCTTCCGAAGGGCTATTTCAAGGGCTACAGTGCCAAGACCAATCCTAACCCAGCCAGTTCTTTCGGTACAGCCGCTTTCCGCTTTGGACACAGTCTGGTTCAATCTTCGATGATGCGCTTCGATAAGTTCCACAGACCGATCAATAACAGTACGTTCTTGAGACAATAAATAAGAAGTGTAGAACATCCCATGAGTATAATTTTAATTCAATCTTTAAAATTTTATCATATTGACCAGACGTTTCCCTTCACGCGGAGCTTACAAACCCGTCAAACATCTGGAGCGTGGGAGCCGTAGATCGGCTACTCCTGGGTATGCTGAACCAGCACATACAGAAGAGGGACGAATTCATTACAGAAGAACTCACCAACCACCTGTTTCAAACCAATCATTTCAACTTCGGGATGGATCTGGCTGCTATCAACATTCAGCGAGGAAGAGACCATGGAGTACCGCCGTATACCGCGTGGAGGGAGCCTTGTGGACTGACGCCTATCACGGACTTCGATGACTTAGTGAGAGTGATGCCAGCACGAGTCGTGAGGAAATTGAAAGTGTTATACAGGTAAGGAAATTATAGTTCTTATATCCTACTGTACTGTTAATACGAATTTTGTGGGTATCTATAATTTTTTGTTGCCTTATCATGCAAGAACTAATTTTAATTTAGATGACAACTTGAAGTGACTTTATAATCCAAGAAATTTGGTTGATTGTAATAATAACCTTGTGAAACATCACTGTCTCTATGATTATTACTTCTTGTAAAGTGTGATACATCCTCAGACACGTAGATGACCTGGACCTGTTCACGGGAGGCGTATCGGAGCGTCCTGTGGCAGGCGCGCTTGTGGGGCCGGTGTTTGCATGCATCATCGCTCAACAGTTCTCAAACTTACGGAAAGGAGATCGCTTCTGGTGAGAAACGTCTCAAATAGAATAGAGTCCCATATCTTCACACAACGAATTCACTGCCAGAGAGATAGCAGAAATAGTTTGAAAAATGAATTAAGTTTACTTAAATAAGTGTTCTACGTTAAAAAAATTATGTATGTCAAATTATTTGACAATCCTACTGAACCTAGTTAGAATCCTTATTAACATTTTCGATGCTCAACTTCGTTTCGTAAATTATACAATCTATATTGTTAATGTTAAATAATTGATAAATATTTTTTTTTAGGTATGAAAATGGTGGATTCGATTCATCTTTCACTCCGGCTCAATTGCAACAAATAAGACGGATATCTCTGTCCCAGGTCCTTTGTAGTACACTGGACTCCATAGATAACATACAACCTTTTGCTTTCCTTTCACATGAAAATCCAAAAAATGACAGGATATCGTGCCGTAACGGCTTACTTAACAATTTTGACCTCTCCGCTTGGATCGAATTACACTCAGACTCAAATAATATTAAGAAATCTGACGAAACTCAACAAAGTTCTAAGACGAAATTAAAGCGAACTACAGTAAAACCGACCACGACCACTAAACATTCTCAAAAAACTACTCAAACTTTGACTCAACAAAAATCTGAAAAATTTAGACTTAATAATATGACTGAGACTGAAAACACTGACAAGGACAAAGACACAAACGTAGACTCAAAAGAACCGATAGGGATCAAACCCAACGCTACAGTAGTTATAGATGACAAACTAGACTTTAGAAATAAATCACGACGCTTTACTGACTTTGACGACGAAAGAAACCCCCCGACTAGACAATACAATGACTATTATGATGACGTGCAAAACGTACAATCAGTTGTTATCAACAATATACCAAATAATAGACCTAACAGACGACCTTACATATCAGTTACTGAAAATATTGCTGACAAATACACGTATCTCATTAACTATGTCCCCCGACCGACTCACTCCTGGCGGCAAACTACCAGACGTACTCACGATCGTGACGTAGTAAAAGTCACATATCAGACTTACGAAGACACTTACGGCCGTCCAAATAGACCTTACTTTAATAGGGACGAACTTGACAATGACTTTGAATCACGACAACAGAAGCCTGTGACGGAGAGCTTCCAATCATCAGCTAGATCGATTGATAACGAAGCGCCGAGTCCACAGTTGAAGTTATCAACTGAGAGCTCAGTGCAGACTGAAAAAAACAGACCAATTGAAACACAGACAGACAAAACTGACGCGACAACAGAAAACTTGTACAAACTTTTAACTTTTGGCTACGTAGGAACTTATAAACGAGACAAAATTGTAAATGATGACAACAAAGACTTGAAAGACAATAAAAATAAACATGACTCTGACCACAACATTAGTTTAGACTTTTCGACAGTAGCAAATACTGAGACAGACGTTGATGACAAACAAAACGTTAAACTTTCAACCTTCATAATTTACGATACAGCTACTAAACCTTACCTGACCAGCTCACAGAGACCGACTAGACGTAATGATGACGAAACTACGGAAAAGAAAGACAAATATTATTTCATTCAAAATGTCTTACATAAATATTCTGAAACAAAGGGCGATGACCCCAAGAAAACGAGCAGTGTAAAAGATAAAACAAATACTGACGAATACATAGGGATCGAGCAGAGATTAGGAAACGACAGCTTAGACGATGACGAGAAACCAGTGAATGTGAGAGCGAAGATTAAATCAAGAAAACCATCGAGCTCAGCGAAAACACCATCCGTCGCTTTTCAAATTATTCCAAGCGAAAATAAGTGAGTAACATAATTTAAAGATAATTATTTAAAGTAATAAAATATCTTAATTTTTATTTCAATCACCTAAAAATGCATTTTTAACGTATGGAAAAATTTTGGAACAATATTTCAATTCTGCGATAAATTTATCAATATGTACATTAAAATTTTATTTAAATATTTCCTATCGTAAAAGACACTTTATAGAAAGTACTTAACCTGTTTTTAAAATGTTTATGTCATTTTCAGTCCATCACAATGGGCGGTTTATGAGGAGAAAGAAGATCTTTCGGGGCAAATACCACAAATGCCAAGCATTAAGGTCGACCCACACGCTCTACGGGAAGTGCCAAGACCTATGAATTTTGGTTTTAGAAAACGACACGGATAAGCGAACAAAATAGAAAAACACAACTTTTTACACAGGAACAGTTCAATATGTAATTCACAGTTAAAATTGGTGTAATTAAATAAGCTTACTATTTGTTTTAAAAAGCACATATATGTGAATAAAGATGATAGAGATATTATTCGAAAAAAAATCTGGCTAAACGTAATTTTGTACTTATAAAAAAATGACTGGATTTTACCTAGACGGATGGACCTTTTACATGACATGAAAGATGACTGACATGACTTTTAGTAATTAATTTTTCTTTCAAATTTCATCTAAATTAATTTATTAGACTTGAATCATAAATACTATTGAAAAATAAATAGCAGGTAACTATAAATATGACAGAAAACTGTATATGGTCCATATTATGCGGAAAATATGGATTGTATCATCGTATAACAAATATTTTGACCAACCTTGACCGAGTAACGTATCAAATTGACACTGACTACTACTTGACGATAAGTTTCTTATTTTAAATAATTGACAAAACTTTATACTGTGTATAATGAAATGAGGACTTAAAAGTACTTATCATACTTAATTTGTTACATTCCAAGAAGCTTGTGTTCTTAAGATTCTTTAGTGATTAATAATGTTGACTTGACTTTGACAAAGTTTGGACCAAAAACTGACTCTACTTATACCGCCAGTTTAGGACTGACTCTTTAACTCAATATGATCCTAATTGAATGGATAAAAAACTGTTAAAAGCAAACTATACTTTACATGTCTTATAAGATATATTTTAGGAAAATTTAAATAGAGGTAAACCACCGACTTTGTGTTAATAAAAAGTAGAAATAATACAATTGTTTTGTCATGAATATTGTATTTAAGTACTTTAAATAAGATATGGAACATCCATGGTAACTAATTCTTTTATAAAATGTAAACATCTTCTAATCCTACTAAATTGTATTTATTTAATAAATAAAATAGAATATAATACATATGTTTAATAGAATGGTGTTTATAATTTAAAATAACCCAATCTACAACATAATATTAACAATCAACTCCAACAATCTTTATCAATATGTGTTCAAAGAATTCTGAATATTTAAATATATGTACAGTAAATATATGTAAATGAGATTACAGATTTTATTTCACATCACATTAAAAGTATACAACACAATACATAATACAGTAAAAAGTTAAATGCATTTTAATAATAAATTAATCACGTTCAGGATAAAATTGTTTAAGAGATTTGGCTAATTCCTGGGCAAGTTCGGGAGTGGAGGCACATAGAACTCTTCTAGACAGTAGATCAAGAGGTCCTCCAGCGGGATCAATACACACCCCACCCGCCTCTCTAATGATAATATCTCCCGCTGCTATATCCCAAGCATGTATGCCGAATTCAAAGTAAGCATCCGAACCTCCCATTGCAACCATGGCCATATTTAGAGCCGCAGATCCCAAACATCGGACACCTTGTCCCTTTGTAGTTATTAATTCAAAATTCTCTAAAACCAGTTTCTGTTTTTCTTCATCACGGCTCGTCCCAGCTTCAAATGATATTAGAGCATTTTTCAACTCTTTAACCTGGGACACATGTATGGGTGTACTGTTAAGGAAAGCACCTCTACCTTCAATAGCTGTGAATAATTGGTTTAAGACAGGATTATATATGATACCGGCTACAACCTTTTTGTTTATGGCTAGACCAAGAGAAATGCAGCTACAAGGATAGCCGTGAATAAAATTAAGGGTTCCATCGACTGGATCAATGATCCATGTGGGATCGTCTGAAAGTATACATTTGTCTCCGCTGGCAACAGATTCTTCCCCAATAAACTTGTGACTAGGAAAACTCTTCGATAAACCCCCTATAAGTGTTTCCTCAACTTTCTTGTCTATTTCTGTTACTAAATCAATATCCGATGATTTAACTTCGAAAACTTTACAACCTGATCGGAACTCACTTATAAGGTTTCCAGCATTTTTCACTAATTCCACAGCGACGTTAAAATAATTTGTAATTTCGTCAGACATTCTGTATGGAATTGAATTTAGGAAACGATAGTAGTGTAAAAATCTATTTGAATTAGCCGAAATTACTAAAACCCGGTGTGTCAGACTACAGTAAGTGTAAGACTGCTTAATAATCATATATATTTTAGCGATTTAAATAGAAACCTGTCGTATAGATAAGGCTATTGACTATTCGCAAAATCTAATTTCTAACTGTCACTCTTACATCATTTGTCAAATGTCACCGTCAGCTGTCTTAAAGATAAATAAAAAAATTACAGTTGTAAGTCTTATCTAAATTCTAAAGTACCTATAAGAGAACTTATAACTTAATCTAAAAGACAAGCATTTCAAAAGTTTTCGTTACAAAATATTACTTTATCATGTACTCATACAAATATTCCTAGGTATTTAAGTTTTAACCTTAACTTAAAGCTGACAATGATTTACTTAGTTGTCATAGATTCACAACCTAACCTTACTAACATTCGAATAGTAGTTTTTCAATAAAATACAAAAAAAGATAAACTACTCATTTTATTATTTATAGATTGCTCTTTTTCAAATTAATTATTTATTAAACAAATAATTAGTCGTATTAAGGTCTTTCAAAAACTTTCCAACCGCCTTTATTCCTAAATATCTATGGTATATCGGCATTTTAAGACTAATTAATATTTAATGAACACTGGTGGATATAATGTTTTTAACAATTCTATTCATACACTTTTCGTGATGAATCAAGATATAGACGTCTATTGAGTAAAAGAAACCAGCTTGAATTTAAGAAAACTAGAATATTAACAATTGAACAATTAAATTTTATATGACATTATGTTGTGCTGGTTGATAGCTGGGACATAATCGGCATTCTTTGAAATCTTTCCTAAGAATATACGAGCAAGAGAAGTGAGAACATCACATGTCACTGAACTGGTGTTGCTAACAAAAAAAAATATCGTTAAAAAAATACACATTTTATTAATATTCGATCAATATAAATGTGTTTTAGAACAAAAGCCAAGTGTTGGAAACGGCTAAGATTTATTATCTATTCAGGACATCGTGAAGTAAGTTTTCTTTTAATTTGCGGTTAATTATATCATTTATGAAATAGCTAAGCATATTTTAATAGCCTTAACAGGAGCCTTAAAGTTACTTATAAAAGAAAAAAAACTAAACATGTAGAATTATTATGGCCACGATTATACAATCATATCCGTTTTAACGGGACTTTGGTCAATATTTTTGAAATTGATGGTCTTCGAACGACCAACATTTGCGGAGGATACCACTTCAGTATCTATTCAAAACTATTTTTGTCTATTATTACGTATATAGAATTAAAATATTTCTCCTTATTAAGCATTTTAGCCTCATCGCAATAAATTTATTTCACTCTATATCCTACATTACAACAATACTCTATTTCAGAATAACCAGTTTTATCAACTATTGAAAATATAACTGTCCGATCTTTTAGCGTCTCTAATACTCAGCTGACAACTAACTCAATTGATATGATGGTAGCTTGTGTTAACAGGCAAAAAAACGTTACCTTCCAAATATTAATATTATAATAAACAACTATTGTTCGGACTTAATCTAGCGTTACTTTCAGTAATATATTAGAAAGCTGAAGCCAGCCATATTTATATTTTTCAAATAGAAGTTGAATGTATAAAAAAGCTGAAGTCAGTATTTAGAGTTTTCAAATACAAGTTGATTCTTAAATATTGTCATTAAAAATTGCAATGGTTCTGTATTATAATTAACTAGTTTTTGCCCGCGTTAGTTTGGTCAAGAGTAATATATGTAGGTATAGCTGACCAGGCGAACTCTATTCCGTCTTAGAGGCCATAAATAATCAGGTTTTTCCTGTTTCAATCAAACAGAATGATTGACATATTAGTTAGTTGTCAAATCTAATGTCAAAAAAAAAACGTTTGTATGGGAAATAGAAAAGGGCTGTTTTTACTGTTTTCCCGGCAATTATTTCAATTTTTCTCACCTTTTACACCTTCCCTGGACTTCCAGGAGTATTTCAAGACTAAAATTAGCCAAATCGATTCAGCCGTTCTCGAGTTTTAGCGAGACTAAGGAACAGCAATCCATTTTTATATATATAGAAGAAGAAGAAGATAGAAGATTATGAATAGTTATAAAAATTGTAAAGAAATAGGAATAAAGTATACATATATAGTACGGCACAGATGGCGCCACTTGGTACACTATAGTGTAATCTGCAAAGTTCATCGTCAAGATTAAAGATTGTAAACAGGGGATAAATAAAACACACTGTTATTAAAAATCATGAAAAATTGTTTAATTGGCATGCCAACCGATAACTCGTTACAACCTATGGCCAATTTTACAATTATCAATATTGTTAATAATTAAATATAATATTTATGTAAAATATGTTTATGCTTCAATGGTTTTCTTACATTTAATTTTTTTTTATATTATTATTCAGAAACAAAACTATATTATAAAAAAGGGTCATTACATCAATTAAGACTCGGGGTACGATAATATAAGAGGCGATACAAAACACTAGCCCCACGTCGACCTTAAGGCCACAATGTATTACTATGTTTTACCTACATCTATAACACACAAGAGTCGCCGGCGCGTCTACATTGTACCGACGATTCAGTGATCAATAGACGACTCGGACACTCTGACGCTCGCCGGCGTGAGGTAATACACCAGTCGTGTTAACTTGTAAAAAATATATAACCAAAAATAAAAAATAAATCTTTAGAAAAACACCAGTAAGTACAAGCGCGGAGAATATTACCAACACGTCTCGAACGTCGGTTGAGACTGACGACTTACAACTACGATTAAAATGTTATGGCAACTAAGCGATCAGTGCACACCACTGACTATATACACTTGCTGGGGGGAGGGGGGAGGGGGTCGAGCCGGGCGAATGATGACGTCACCAGGCTTCGAAATACCCAACGACCCAAAAATATATGTATATAATATATACGAAAAATGTCAAGAATATAAAATATTGTCGCAACAGTCTTCCCGCTCAGTCGCGATAAATGCAACACCAGAGAACGTGTAATTTGACACAAACAATAATACTCGGGTTATATATATATAAAAAAAAACAAAATTTCATTACAATATCACCAATTATTTTAATTTATCAGCCGACCTCGTGTGGGCCGGCGCGAGGAATGTTCACGATACTAATACTGAGGGACTGCTGGTTCCAACTTAGGCTGAAACAAAAGGCACTCGGACAACCAATCCGTGAGAACCATCTACAAATAGATACCGAGGAATCACATCGCAACAAACAAAATGCAATTTCAAAAAACGAGCACCAAAATACAGTCGGGATAAATGACTCGGTTATTCAGGAGTTTCCCTTAACGTATATCGTTATGTACAAACGTATCAAAAATTTTTATAATCCACAGTTCAGTGTAACAAGAGGAAAACAAACTTAATAACTGAATGATACAGTCGGGAGTCGCTTGACTTACACATTACAGCCATCCAGATATATACAATGGAGCGGCGTGATTCATCCCCACTTCGGCTTGTACTTAGCGCTCCGGCGCGCGACATCGTTACATTATCATCATGTTACAAAAAAAATGTCAAATCCTTTGGCCGAAAAAACAATTACATATATAAAAATTTCATACCTAATACATTTTTTTTCAGACGAGAATTATCATAAGCTTGATAAATATACTTCAAAAATAAGGAGATGGCGTCGGCGGAAACCAAACATGATAATCGAGAACCGCATGATATAATAAGAAAAGCACAGACTAAAAATTACAGTATATATAATTGGAACACTCGATATAGCTGTATAATCTCAGTATAAGGTCGTTATTTCCGTCAGCGCCATCTATCGGTAGCGTGTGGTTTCACTCGAGCGAGTTGGCGGCGTCGGTGCCGTCGTCGAAGGATTCGTCCCCAGAAGCTCCCCCCGGGGCGAGGGACGAGCGCTTCACGCGGCCAGAGGACGCTCCGGACAACATGGGGCCGCCTTGACGCCTGGACAATAACAATAATACATATATAAACACATACAAGAGTGAGTGAACATAGATTTGCTCGCGATACGTCTATAGCTATCATCATCTGATTTGATCTGATAACCAATGACACATGTCAGTAATATAACAACCAATTAAGGTAGAGCCTTTGAATAATATTATACATCAGTGTGTGTTTAAAGACACTACTGTTAGTGTAGAAAAATAAACTGTATTTGATGCCTTCTCATATGTAGAATTGTATTTGAAAGTAATTATCTAAGATTTTAGAGTATTCTAATTAATTTAACTAATGTTTTCGGTTTATACTAAGCGTATTTTTTTAAGGTATAAACTACATTCTCCCGACGTTTTGCTAACTTTTCAGCAACCGTGATCACATCTCGTCTGCCCGTGATCACGTTTGCTGAAAAGTAAGCAAAACGTCGGGACTATATGGTTTATACATTAATAAAATACGCGCAGTACAAACCGAAGAATATTATTTTCATTAATACGAGAAAGTATCAACTTAATCTAGTATCGAGTCGAATATTCCAGATCGTAAAATTAATAATTTTAAATAATAAAACAAAGACAACCAAAACACAACCAAAGCATTTTCACACGAATGAATTCTGTTACTAATGATAGGTTGATGTCATGTCAATGATTCCACTCTAAGCTCCTGCAGCCCTAAAAGCTCATCCAATCATCGTAATGACTTCATTAAACACTTTTAATGTTTCCCAATTACATTACATAATGATAATTGTTATTTTTATCCTTTTAATAGCACGACACTAAGCGTAACCCAATTTACCTCTCGCTCGCGGGACGTCTAGTCGCTATCATCGGCCAAGGAGGGTCTGATAACCAATGATACGTTTTAGTAATATAATAATAATAACCAAATAAGGTAGAGCCCTCGAACAATATTTTTGTAATCTGATTTTATTTAGGGACTTTTTAGCGGATAACTAAATGTCAGTCCCGTCGTTCCGTTAATATCGAACGATATATCTTCGTGTGTGCGTGTGTACGTGTGTGCGTGTGTGTGCGTGCGTGTACCTGAGCTTGTTCCGCAGGTTGGTGCACTCCCTGGAGAGCGTCTCCTGCGCCTCCAGCAGGTCGTCCAGTTCCCTCTGCGCCTTCCTCTTGGCGGCCCTCTCCCTCTGCACCTCCTCGTCCGCGGCGTCAACCTCGCGCTTCAACGCCTTCACGCGACTGTTCATCTGTTAACATCATCATATATAAAACTGTGCAAAAAATTAAAATGAATGAGAACGTAAACATGTATGTAGCAGGCCATTTACAAACGGCTTCGGTTTACAAAATTGAAACTTTATACAAATTGATTGTAAATTGTCATGATCTTATAAAATGTTTCATAACATTTGTAGCGCATTCAATGCCGCGGTGCCAATAAATTATTTTTCTCGTATTAGGTTCATGTTTGTAAACGCACATATGTAACCTAATGTACACAGCTCACTCATCCTACATTTAATCCTATCAACTCGCAGATGCCAGACGCCAGGTGTGCGTGAGTGCGTGTGTGGGTGTGTGTGTCTCGTTACCTTCTCTATCTGCTCCTTGTACTGGTCGGAGTGCCTCCTCTCCTCCTCCAACTGTAGCGCCAATTCCTTCATCTTCTTGTCCAGTTTCCTCGAGGCCTTCTGTTGCGCGAGTCGTTCACGAGACTCCGCCTCCAGCTGCTCCTCCAAATTCTGGACCTTCATCTCCAAGGACGTGATCATACTCTGTAATACACCATTAATATCATTATAAGCAACCCTTCTCTTTGATTTATTAAAGTACCCACTAGTTAATTACTTTTATCCTACTAATATTATAATTGCGAAAGTTTGTGAGTGTGTATGTATGTTTGTTACTTCTCCACGCTCAAACGGCTGAACCGATTTTGATAAACTTTTGTATACAGGAAGCTGACGTCCAGGAATAACACATAGGCTACTTTACATAACGGAAATCGGCGGGTAACACCGCGGGGCGCAGCTAGTATAATCTTATTCGTCACCTTGGTCTTGGCGCGTCCAGAGGTCTCCAGTTCAGCGAACTTGGCCTTCAGTTCCTTGTTCTGTCTCTCTAATACCAATTTGCTGCTCTCCAATTTCTGTGTGGCCGCCTTCTCTGTACCAAGCTCCATAGTTAGCTGATCGATTTGGTTCTGGAAATGTTATACATACAGTTATTAGTAATAATTTGTGGCTCACAGTAGTTATAAAATATAATTGATAGTGATAATTATTATGACAATTCAAAGGAAATTTACTTTAACAGGAGAATAGATATACATTTTAATTTTTGGTATAAATACTGGTATAATGTTTGGACAACATTTAAGTAACATTCGTGAGTAGAATTGAAGAATATGATAATGAAGAGCTATCGAGAAATACAAGGATATTTTGAAGAATTGAAGTTACATTTTGAAATATCATGGGACATACTGTAAGAAGTGACATTAGCAGTGTTGACGTCTCTGTCTTTAAAAACAATGAATTTGTTTTAATTCCGATATCCCTTCTATATTATATATGCGAAAAAAACTCTGTCTGACTGTCTGTTACGCTTTCGCGCCTAAACCACTAAACAGATTTTAATGAAATTTGGTACAGAGATAGAGTTGACCTCGAGAAAGAACATAGGATAGTTTTTATCCCAGACTTTTGAAACGCGATATAACCGAACTCCACCCGGCGAAGCTACGGGCGGAAAGCTAGTATATATATTTTCAGTATATTTCATATAATAAACTGTCACATATGATGGTATGTGTAACCCACCTGAGCCTTTCTGAGTCTGTCGTTGAGTATCTCGTTGTTCGACTGCTCCTCATCCAAATCTTCCTCAAGAGCTGTTATTCTCGCTTCCAGACGTTTCTTCTCGTCTATTAGAAGAGTCGCCTGAAAAAATTTATACAATTAATACACGTCTTAAATCTGGATTTAAATATGATTATCCGAGTAATTTATAATTATTTACAGCAAAAGTTCGAACTAACGACCTAAGAAATATTCTGAATGAAACAAATATTATGCACAAAATAATCAATATTACGTTATCTTACTATACCACGCAGTCTAGTAATTTTGAATTGGAACAAACTGAGATCTTGTATACGTATAACGGTAAACGAAGCAAATCCTGGTTAACAACAAACATTCTAGACACTTAATATTGTGGAGATACACAAGTACATGTGCTTTAAATGGAACCAATGCTATATATTCATACTTCATTGCCATCAAACATGTCATATCCCTACAAATATTATAAATACGAAAGTAACTCTGTCAGTCTGTCTGTTACGCTTTCACGCCTAAACCACTGAACTGATTTTAATGAAATTTGGTACAGACAGAATTGACCTTGAGAAAGTCCATAGGATAGCTTTTATCACAGACTTTTGAAAGGTTCTCTTATAAACGCGATATAACCGATCTTGTCGATGTGACGATTAAAAAGTAAATAACTACCGATGACGTAATCAATACCTAGACTCCCTTACCCCCCATGTCATTCAAAATAATCAAAGCAAAGACCCCCCGCCCCTCCATAGTGCTTATGTAATACTTGAACAGCCCCTAATATCATTCCATCTCGCGTCGTGTATATATATTGGCTGGTGTGTATACCTTAGCGGCGGCGGCGGTGAGTTCGTCATCTCTGTCATCTCTCTCGACCTCCGCGTGTCTCCGCGCCCTCTCAGCGGCCGCCAGTTCCTCCGCGTGTTGTAGCGCTTCCGCCTCTAGCGCCTTCACCCTCCTCTCGGCCTCTCGGGAGGTCGCTGCAGCCTCTTCCCTCCCCGCGCGCGCCTCCTCCGCCTCTCGAACCGCCTCTTTGAGCTGAGCCGTCAGCTTCTTCGCTTGTTTAACAGCATCCTCTTTCACCTGTTATATATTACATTATTATACATCGTGTACTTGATCGCGGAATAGCTTTTAAATTAAATGCAATTATGTTGTAATATAACAATGTGATATTAACAATAAGAATCGACATAAAAACAAACAAAACGACTAAATCACTCTATACAATTTAATTAACAATTTCCAATAAAACAAACTGATACACACAACTGGAAACTCTCACAGGATCAAAAAAACCATTTCTAATATGTTGCTATGTGACTTTACTTTTTAGTTTATATACAAATCCTTATGTTTCCTAATACCGTTATAAACTCTTCAAACATTTATTATCACCTTATTAGCCAGATGCAGCGCCTGCTCAGCGTCCTTTAGGTCAGCCTCCATCTTCTTCCTGGTCGCGGCGGCGGCTGCTCTTTGTTTCCGCTCCTCTTCCAACTCAGCTTCAAGCTCTCGAAGCTGCTTCACTATACCGCGGCGCTTTTCCTCACCAGCCTCTTCTTTAGCCTGAAACAAAAATATTCATATATACATCATCATCATCAGCCTATAAAAGCCTAATGCTGAAAGGCCTCTTCTCACATGGAGAAGGTGCATTAATCGCCACGCTTACTCAATACCGTTAAGGGATTTCAGGATTATAATTTGATATTACATGCCCATGTTCCTCACAATGTTTGACACACTGTCAGTGGTGTCTAAATACTCTTAGAACGTACATTACACTCTTAAACATCACATTGGTACTTGCCAGGTTTCGAACCCGCGTTCTCATACATGAGAAGCAGGCCTTTAACCTTAAGGCCACCATTTTAATATATACGTGTCATTCTAAACTGGTCGTTCTATGTCGTCACCTGTAGATCCCTCTCGAACTGCGCCCTCATAGCCTGCATGTTGACCTCAAGCCGTAGCTTGGCGTCCTCAGTAAGCTGCAAGTCATCTTCTATTTCCTCATTCTGCGCCTTCAGCTCGGCTAATTGCGACTCCAGCGCCCTCTTGGCCTTTTCCAGCTCGTGAACATTCTTGTCAGCTGTTCCCTGCGTGTTGGCCAGCTCGTCTAGTTCCGACTGTAGGAGACGCTTGGAACGCTCCAACTCCTCGATCTGTGAATATTTTACAAAAGATTATTACATATCAATCATTACAACATCTAAAAATTTACGATCATCTATCACTCGTGAGTTTCGTTGTATAAACTGTTATTAACAGACTATATATATCAATCTAGAAACGCTTATCTACAACTCTTCTAGTCTTAATAATTTTTCCAACTCAATGTCAAGTAACCATAAATTATCTATAGCCCAATAAATGACAACTATTAATTATTTGTCAAGTAAATTGCAATAAATTCAAAAACAAATTATGAAATTTGTCAATAGTTAGTATAGCATTCTGTCATGTTTCTAATGTCTCCCAAATTGAAATTCTATAATCTATCTATATACCTAGGATGATAGTGGATTACTTTATCAAACGAGCTTATTATAGATTCATTGAATGAATAATTCAATATATTAAACCATCATATCTAGAGCTATGTATATATGAACATAACATGTATGTCCGGGTCCGTACTGCCAAATTTGTCAATACAGATAGCATTCTGTCATGTTTCTAATGTCTCCCAAATTGAAATTCTATAATCTATCTATATACCTAGGATGATAGTGGATTACTTTATCAAACGAGCTTATTATAGATTCATTGAATGAATAATTCAATATATTAAACCATCATATCTAGAGCTATGTATATATGAACATAACATGTATGTCCGGGTCCGTACTGCCAAATTTGTCAATACAGATAGCATTCTGTCATGTTTCTAATGTCTCCCAAATTGAAATTCTATAATCTATCTATATACCTAGGATGATAGTGGATTACTTTATCAAACGAGCTTATTATAGATTCATTGAATGAATAATTCAATATATTAAACCATCATATCTAGAGCTATGTATATATGAACATAACATGTATGTCCGGGTCCGTACTGCCAAATTTGTCAATACAGATAGCATTCTGTCATGTTTCTAATGTCTCCCAAATTGAAATTCTATAATCTATCTATATACCTAGGATGATAGTGGATTACTTTATCAAACGAGCTTATTATAGATTCATTGAATGAATAATTCAATATATTAAACCATCATATCTAGAGCTATGTATATATGAACATAACATGTATGTCCGGGTCCGTACTGCCAAATTTGTCAATAGTTAGTATAGCATTCTGTCATGTTTCTAATGTCTCCCAAATTGAAATTCTATAATCTATCTATATACCTAGGATGATAGTGGATTACTTTATCAAACGAGCTTATTATAGATTCATTGAATGAATAATTCAATATATTAAACCATCATATCTAGAGCTATGTATATATGAACATAACATGTATGTCCGGGTCCGTACTGCCAAATTTGTCAATAGTTAGTATAGCATTCTGTCATGTTTCTAATGTCTCCCAAATTGAAATTCTATAATCTATCTATATACCTAGGATGATAGTGGATTACTTTATCAAACGAGCTCATTATAGATTCATTGAATGAATAATTCAATATATTAAACCATCATATCTAGAGCTATGTATATACATAGCTCTAGATATGATGGTTCATATATATGAACATAACATGTATGTCCGGGTCCGTACTGCCAAATTTGTCAATAGTTAGTATAGCATTCTGTCATGTTTCTAATGTCTCCCAAATTGAAATTCTATAATCTATCTATATACCTAGGATGATAGTGGATTACTTTATCAAACGAGCTTATTATAGATTCATTGAATGAATAATTCAATATATTAAACCATCATATCTAGAGCTATGTATATATGAACATAACATGTATGTCCGGGTCCGTACTGCCAAATTTGTCAATAGTTAGTATAGCATTCTGTCATGTTTCTAATGTCTCCCAAATTGAAATTCTATAATCTATCTATATACCTAGGATGATAGTGGATTACTTTATCAAACGAGCTTATTATAGATTCATTGAATGAATAATTCAATATATTAAACCATCATATCTAGAGCTATGTATATACATAGCTCTAGATATGATGGTTCATATATATGAACATAACATGTATGTCCGGGTCCGTACTGCCAAATTTGTCAATAGTTAGTATAGCATTCTGTCATGTTTCTAATGTCTCCCAAATTGAAATTCTATAATCTATCTATATACCTAGGATGATAGTGGATTACTTTATCAAACGAGCTTATTATAGATTCATTGAATGAATAATTCAATATATTAAACCATCATATCTAGAGCTATGTATATATGAACATAACATGTATGTCCGGGTCCGTACTGCCAAATTTGTCAATACAGATAGCATTCTGTCATGTTTCTAATGTCTCCCAAATTGAAATTCTATAATCTATCTATATACCTAGGATGATAGTGGATTACTTTATCAAACGAGCTTATTATAGATTCATTGAATGAATAATTCAATATATTAAACCATCATATCTAGAGCTATGTATATATGAACATAACATGTATGTCCGGGTCCGTACTGCCAAATTTGTCAATACAGATAGCATTCTGTCATGTTTCTAATGTCTCCCAAATTGAAATTCTATAATCTATCTATATACCTAGGATGATAGTGGATTACTTTATCAAACGAGCTTATTATAGATTCATTGAATGAATAATTCAATATATTAAACCATCATATCTAGAGCTATGTATATATGAACATAACATGTATGTCCGGGTCCGTACTGCCAAATTTGTCAATACAGATAGCATTCTGTCATGTTTCTAATGTCTCCCAAATTGAAATTCTATAATCTATCTATATACCTAGGATGATAGTGGATTACTTTATCAAACGAGCTTATTATAGATTCATTGAATGAATAATTCAATATATTAAACCATCATATCTAGAGCTATGTATATATGAACATAACATGTATGTCCGGGTCCGTACTGCCAAATTTGTCAATAGTTAGTATAGCATTCTGTCATGTTTCTAATGTCTCCCAAATTGAAATTCTATAATCTATCTATATACCTAGGATGATAGTGGATTACTTTATCAAACGAGCTTATTATAGATTCATTGAATGAATAATTCAATATATTAAACCATCATATCTAGAGCTATGTATATATGAACATAACATGTATGTCCGGGTCCGTACTGCCAAATTTGTCAATACAGATAGCATTCTGTCATGTTTCTAATGTCTCCCAAATTGAAATTCTATAATCTATCTATATACCTAGGATGATAGTGGATTACTTTATCAAACGAGCTTATTATAGATTCATTGAATGAATAATTCAATATATTAAACCATCATATCTAGAGCTATGTATATATGAACATAACATGTATGTCCGGGTCCGTACTGCCAAATTTGTCAATACAGATAGCATTCTGTCATGTTTCTAATGTCTCCCAAATTGAAATTCTATAATCTATCTATATACCTAGGATGATAGTGGATTACTTTATCAAACGAGCTTATTATAGATTCATTGAATGAATAATTCAATATATTAAACCATCATATCTAGAGCTATGTATATATGAACATAACATGTATATCCGGGTCCGTACTGCCAAATTTGTCAATACAGATAGCATTCTGTCATGTTTCTAATGTCTCCCAAATTGAAATTCTATAATCTATCTATATACCTAGGATGATAGTGGATTACTTTATCAAACGAGCTTATTATAGATTCATTGAATGAATAATTCAATATATTAAACCATCATATCTAGAGCTATGTATATATGAACATAACATGTATGTCCGGGTCCGTACTGCCAAATTTGTCAATACAGATAGCATTCTGTCATGTTTCTAATGTCTCCCAAATTGAAATTCTATAATCTATCTATATACCTAGGATGATAGTGGATTACTTTATCAAACGAGCTTATTATAGATTCATTGAATGAATAATTCAATATTTTAAACCATCATATCTAGAGCTATGTATATATGAACATAACATGTATGTCCGGGTCCGTACTGCCAAATTTGTCAATACAGATAGCATTCTGTCATGTTTCTAATGTCTCCCAAATTGAAATTCTATAATCTATCTATATACCTAGGATGATAGTGGATTACTTTATCAAACGAGCTTATTATAGATTCATTGAATGAATAATTCAATATATTAAACCATCATATCTAGAGCTATGTATATATGAACATAACATGTATGTCCGGGTCCGTACTGCCAAATTTGTCAATAGTTAGTATAGCATTCTGTCATGTTTCTAATGTCTCCCAAATTGAAATTCTATAATCTATCTATATACCTAGGATGATAGTGGATTACATTATCAAACGAGCTTATTATAGATTCATTGAATGAATAATTCAATATATTAAACCATCATATCTAGAGCTATGTATATATGAACATAACATGTATATCCGGGTCCGTACTGCCAAATTTGTCAATACAGATAGCATTCTGTCATGTTTCTAATGTCTCCCAAATTGAAATTCTATAATCTATCTATATACCTAGGATGATAGTGGATTACTTTATCAAACGAGCTTATTATAGATTCATTGAATGAATAATTCAATATATTAAACCATCATATCTAGAGCTATGTATATATGAACATAACATGTATGTCCGGGTCCGTACTGCCAAATTTGTCAATACAGATAGCATTCTGTCATGTTTCTAATGTCTCCCAAATTGAAATTCTATAATCTATCTATATACCTAGGATGATAGTGGATTACTTTATCAAACGAGCTTATTATAGATTCATTGAATGAATAATTCAATATTTTAAACCATCATATCTAGAGCTATGTATATATGAACATAACATGTATGTCCGGGTCCGTACTGCCAAATTTGTCAATACAGATAGCATTCTGTCATGTTTCTAATGTCTCCCAAATTGAAATTCTATAATCTATCTATATACCTAGGATGATAGTGGATTACTTTATCAAACGAGCTTATTATAGATTCATTGAATGAATAATTCAATATATTAAACCATCATATCTAGAGCTATGTATATATGAACATAACATGTATGTCCGGGTCCGTACTGCCAAATTTGTC